ATGGGCAAGTATGACTATACCATAATTGCTGATGGCTGTCGTTGATAGATCGTTGTGGTGAAGATTCAGCGTGGATTCTGCATTCAGACCACCCTACGATTACATATATCGAGGGATTATGATATATATATATATATATATATATATATATATATATATATATATATATATATATATATATATATTTCTCAAAAAGGAAAAAAACATTAGCACAAAGCCTTTCAAAATTTGATAAAAATTGAAATACTACAAATTGGTAATACGCTCCTGATGTTAAAATGAAAGAAGTTACAATATTCAAGGAAGTACTGTCGTAAATAGAATTATTCAGGCTTTGGTTTCCAGTGCATATCGCATTATTACTGGAGCAAAAATTAACATCTACAAATAATAATAATAATAATAATAATGATAAAAAGTTCCAGTAGACGTAGTGAAGGGATATCTGGCTGCACAGGCCTCAAAGAAATAGACAAGATTCTACTCACACGTACGGCTCACATATTTTGATGAGCTTTGTCTATGTAAATGTGTATGATCTTAGGTTTCGTTTCGTCTTTTATTTTTACGAAAACGATCGATGGAAAGTGTTATAGAACCATTGCTGATCTTAGCACTTTGGTTGAGACCTTAGGTCACTGGTTGGGAAGGAAATGCTTATAGAACAGAAATCCAAAGAAATAATAATAATAATAATAATAATAATAATAATAATAATAGTAAATGTTATTCAACATACCCAAATGAAGCAGAAGGTAAGAAAAGAGTACTACAGGCGTGTGCGTCTGGTATTAAATACCGAGCTGAATTTAAAAAAAAAAAAAAAAGAATATCAGCCATGAACACATTGGCTCTCAATGTAGTGCAATACAGCTTTAACATCCTGAATTGGACCACAGCTGACATAAACCAAATTGACGCCAAAACGAGAAAGCTTCTCACTTGCTATCTCTTGAATCATCCCAATTATTCGAAGGAGGCAGAGTATTAGTTCAACTAGAAATGTCCTACAAAATTACAAAAGTTGGCCTTCAAAGATACCTGGAAACTACAGAAGACAGGATAATGATATGTGTCAAAGTACATGAAAGTAGAAAGCGTCTTTATTACGTAATAAAAGAAGTCAACGAATTCAAAAATGGAGTTTCAAAATGGAGTTTCAAATACAAGTAAAGCACAATACACCAACTGAAGCTTCAAAATACATAGAGAAACAAAGGATAAACAAATGTAACCGACTAGATACAGAAACAATGGCAAGCTAAACCGCTTCATGTCCATAACCAACGAGCTGATGTAGACAAACCCCGGACCCATCGACGGCTACAGAGTGATGGGTTAAAAACTGAAACTGAAGACACACAGACAGAACAATCAAAGCTAACCGCCCAGATATTGTTATTAGGCACTGCAAAAAAATGTGCTTCATTATTGACATGGCAGTCCCTGCGGACTGCAATGTATCTTTGAAGATCAAAAAGCTATCAAAGTACAAGGACCATGAAATCGAAATCTCAAAATGTGGCACATGGGAACATCAACAATACCTGTTGTAATTGGAGCCCTCGGATTGTTTGGAAAAGATTCCAGTAGACTAATTGGAGGGATTCCAAGAAATACATGCCTTAAAGAGATAAAAAAATTGTTCTCACGAATACAGCCCACACCTTAAAAACGGCTTTACATATATAAAGTATTTTTATCTATTTATTTTTTGTTGTGAGAGGAAAATGTCATTATGCCATTTCAAATATTAGGTCTCTTGACCGGAACCGGAACGAAATGTGTACACTCCGGAAATCAAAGGAAATAATAATAATAATAATAATAAGAAGAAGAAGAAGAAGAAGAAGAAGAGCGATATGACAATAACACTGAAACATAGTAACAAAATGCTAATAGAGAAGAAATTTTAATTAAACATAAACATATCTGAGAATATGACAAAATATGAGGGTGTAGAAATATAAAGGAAAATATATTTGGATGGGGCCTTTGGGCATGATGAAAATCTACAGTTACGTGATAAAAAATCATGGAAATCTCGATTTAAAAGAAATAGAATAAATGCAGTATACAAAAATCCATCTCTTCGGCATTGTCAATGTAAATGTAATATGAACACTGTACATGCTTTACATCGGAATATGTGCAAACATAATGCACACATTAACTACCTTCTTGAAGTACACACACTCACTATATATATATATATATATATATATATATATATATATATATATATATATATATATATATGAATAAAAAACAAACCACTTTAAGGTTGCATGTAATAAATTATTTTACCACAGCCCTTTTAAAGGGCTCTGGATCATCAGACTTTACTTCCAAAGGTTGAAATGAAAATGAAAAGAAATTTACACATTTTTGACGGGCCGTATTAAGCATATGTAAATTAACGAAGTGAGGAAGTGAGGGGGAAGAGAAGACGAAGTGAGGATGTGAGCGGGGAGAGAAGACATGAGTGAGTTAGATGTACTATTTCAATTCTTTATGCCTAACCCCACTTGGTGTGGGCTAGACAAACGCTTCACTTGACTTATGTTATCTTTAGATATGGATGGGTAAGTGGTGAAGAGGAAAGCCGATATAAAAGGAAGAAGATACACTAAAACAATCCTGATGAGAGAAGGTTTCACTTAATTTCTTGGACGCTTTTATTTCGCATTCCTTTAAAGGGTATATTTGGGGGTTAAAGTTTGATATAAATCTAAATGTCTACAAAATCTACGAAGAATTTAATTTGATGTTTGTTGGAGTTTTGGGCATTTTCTATGAAATAGTCAATTGGAAAAAATTCATATAAAGTACATTGAAAGAATAATTCATTGTAAATCTAGTAATCTTTTTTATTTCCCTAAACTTTTTTTCTTGTTGATTATTATGTTGACATCTATTCGTTTGAATGTTGTTCATAAATTAAACTCGTGACTGTATTTAGGTACCTACATAATTCTCAGAGGTTATTTCAATTTAAATAATTTTATCATCAATAATGATTCTTAAAGGATAATATATTTCAATTTAAACTAAATTATCAGTTTAAAATTTACCTCCGTATTATTTAGACTCAGTTGAGAGAAGGTTTCATTCAAATTCTTAGACTCTGTTATTTCGCATTACTTTAAAGGGTATATTTGGAGGTTAAAGTTTGGTTCATGTATTTTTTCCGTGCGTTTTTGTTTATACAACCCAGCCTAATCTCCTGTGACACAGTTTCCTATTAACTACACTTTAATTATTCTCGTTTTGAAAATGCCATTGTTTTGGGCGACTTAAAATTATTGTTTTTTTTTTCTTTTACACTCAAACCTAATATTAGTCATGTCTTTGTCTGTATATATATATATATATATCTTATTTTTATGGAATCATATCCGACTATCGTTTCAAAAAGTAATAACTATATAATTCTGAACAATGTCAGAAACACTATTTGTACGGATAATCATGAGAAAATAATAATCTTGAATTCTCATACATAGTCGGAAATGTTTCATAGTTTTTCTTTATAGAAATGCTCGTTTATTTCCAGTTAATGTCATTTACACGTACTCCTTTCTAAGTCTGTATATAGCATCAGAATGACACACCATTCTCTCCCTTTACTCCTTAAGAATTTCCCAAAGGAACCCTTTGCCATAAATCTAAATGTTTGCAGGCACAGGATGCTTGTGTGCTCGTCATCAGCAGCGGAGGTTATCAGTAACGGCACACGCCGACGAATCGTGATCAATCAAATATTGCACGTCCATTACACTCACGCTACAAAAACTCTTATAGATCGAGTTTATTTCAGCAACCGGGAAAAGATCAAACAATTATCTTCTCAGCCACTTGAAACAAGTATTGACCTCTTAAATCATTCATTTCTGTTGTAGACCTTGCTATTAATGAGATTTATTCGTCGTGTCCAAGCAAGTTTGTCACTGACCGAGTCAGGCAACCAACCGTGCATAGTTGTTGAAGTGATTATAAAAGTGTGGCCCTATAATAGGCAGCGCCCACCTGGACAGCTTCACAGACCATTAAACACTATTTCGGCCATTTCTGGCAAAAGGCCAAACTCGACGATCGATTGATCGCACATTGTCATCTAAGAGCAAAATTCACTTTTGATGGAAATGTTAATACAAAAATTCCATTTCGGAAAAAAATTAAATTTATATCTCTTATATTAAAATAAAAGAATTTGGCTGAAAAAATAATACAAATAAATGAGTGAATTATACATCTCATTTCCAGTGTCACAGTTCATCAAACTTACAAGAGTTTACCTTTTTTTTTAAACATATAAATGTACAAAAAAGTGAATATTTCTATTTGACTCGGTGACTGAGTAAAGTGGATAATTTTATTTCACACGGGCGACATAAAACGCGGTATTTATTTTCCGTTTTATATTAAACGGATATGTGCAATCAATATTAATATATGGGGAATGGTAAAACTCTGGTGAACTTTCCGATTCCTCGAATTATCATCCTATTAGTCCTCTACCTCTTTTTGGCAAGTGTTCTTAATCAACACCGAAATGATTAAACATCTCATTTCACAACATGACTTTTGTTTCTCTCGGCCACCCGCCAATGTATTAACGGTTATTGCTGATCAAGCTTTGTATAAGAACGGCGAGGCTTGAGCAGTGGCTTCCGATATCTCGAAGGCATCTCTTAGGGTTTGTCATGCTTCTCTTCTTCACAAGCTCAACATCTTTGTTATGATGAAATGATATAAAAGAAATGTACAAACACATAGCGTATGGTATAATTGCATATGCGTGCATGATATAATCTATTGAATTAACGAAATGTACATTATTATTGCTACATAAAGCATTTAAAATATTTAGCTAAGTTGCAAATACACATTTCTTACATATATAAAATTGTGTGGTAGTTTAATGATAAGAACTCTGTTTTATTTCGGAGGCTATCTTTGATATATAGTGACCTTCAAATATCTATGGCTTACATCACGTTGAAACACCGGTTCTGGTACGATCACCGAAGTTAAGGAATGTCGGGGCTGGTCAGTACCTAGATGGGTAACCGCTTGTAAATACCAGGTGATGTAAGCTTGGACAGGCGAGCGGTTCAATGGATAATGCCTCAGAAGTGTTAATGAGAAAACAGAGTTCCAATTCCTTTTGGGTTCGTTATATTCCCTTCCTTGCAAATACTCTTGGAAAAAAATTATGAATTCACCTCATCTCCCCACCCAGCTCTAATCAAATTAGTAAGACTTGTATCGCTAAACCATTATTAGTACTCAAAAATAAATTCTTACAATCTAAAAAGGGTAGATACCCATTGCAGATTCTTTACTACTGTAGAAAAAAATTCAATCGAACAATAACATATCTATGGACAAGTGAAGATTCAATGACATATGATACGTAATATAAACAAACAATATCAAATAAGCAATATATATTCATGTATTTTTTATTACACCGCTATGCATTATGCAACAGTCAACAGCAATTTCAAACTGGTCTTATTCAGAGCAAACGTTATTAAGCCTAATTAGTGAAGAATAAACCTAATGGATATTGAAGAGAAATATTGGACGTTAAAAGGATTGAACCGAATTGAAAAATGTCAATAATTATATATGACATCATGATGATAAATAAAAATCTCTTAAGCTTCCTAACGAATCAAGTCACACTTCGGATATTAAATGTTATATACAGGACGCGCCAAATAATTCAAGAAAAGATTCAGTAGAAAAAGATCTATATTTTACTTAAATGTCTACACAATTTGAGTGTAGGAAAAACGCATTTTCATCAAACCGGTCTCATCTTCGTGAAATATCGATTCCGCCTCAGAAGCAGCTACCTTAGATATTTATCCATGTTGTCCATGACGTTCACGATGGAGGCCTTCAACAATTCATTGACACACTGCATGGTGTCCTTCCTCCTGACGAACTTCCAGAAGTTAGAGTCAAGATGATTCGATTTAGGACAGCTAGTAGCCTCATACTCTGGGTGATATGATCACGAATATTCTTGGCAAACAATTTCTGGGCCGAGGATGCAAGAAATTGAGAGTATAATCCTACTGGGATAAGTTTAGCTTACGCTTGGCAAACTTCTCGATCCATCGCGTGACTTCATTTTGATGTCGGTGTTGGCCATTGACAGTTTCTGTTTACCTACGGGCTGACTAATATTTTTCTATACCTATCTCACAAAGGCGCTAGTAATTCTCAAGATGACATATGACACATCCCAGTTTTGGGGAGTAGCTGATGATTGAGAATCAGTATAAAAATGTCAGTATGCTTTAATTGGATACTTACACCATAATATATTTATATTAGAACCAAAAATGAAATGGATACAACTATTTCACATTGTTGAATTAACGATACTTTTGCAGAAAAATATCGATTGGATTCATAAACATAAAATTTATACGAAGATCTACGAGATGTATACAAGTAATATATCTGGATAAGGAATATATTGCTTGGCTTGATCTCGACTTTGAGTTAACTTGGAATATTTATATCCGAAAAAGTACAATGACATTTAAAATATTTTCAATGTTAAAAATACCGTTTGTCTCGTCATTGTCGCACCAAAAATAATGGCAAAATATTGATTAGTTTGAAAGAAATTAAGTGAATGAATGAAATATATATTTGTTTTATTCATTTAATGAAGATACTCATGCTTCTGGTGTCAAGGAAACACACTTCTCCCCAATCGGAAATACAAGTTTGAGTAAATTGCACATTAAAAAATATTGTGCATGGGTTAACTACAAAAATATGAATAAAAATGTTATCGATTTATTCGTTTCAGTAATTAAAGCATATTTGAAAAAAGCTTGTCTTTTTTTTTTTTGATAAAATGCACAACGGTGTAAATACTTAACTAAATCTAAACTTTGCTTTAGATATATAAATATGCATTTCAAATTTATTTATAAACATTAAAACGCGATATTTCCCGACATTTGAAAAAAAAATTCATAAGCTATCCACACGGCTCTATATACGCATAAACTCAGACACAAACACACACACACACACACACACACACACATATATATATATATATATATATATATATACTGAAAGAGTCTGTGACCGGAGAGGGGATTGAAAAAGAGCATCATGTTTGAAATTCACAACGTATTTCCCATTTCCCATCTACTTGTGTGAAGGATTGTACCAAAGATATCTAAAAATGGGATTGCTTTTATCACCTTGGTTAAAATCAATTCTAGGTTTCCAGTTGATAAACAACTCTTAAGACACAAAAGGTATGGAAAAAGCGAAAACGATCGGCATGAAAGCGCAACTTGACCGACATTCGCTTTGTTGCCTAGATTACGACATACGATATGGTGACGGCTACATTCATATGCAGTTGCTGTATCCCAATTTTGGTTCCTGCCCACGGCATAAGCAAAAGAAACGGTGGGAACTTTGCATGAATAACAAATTGTAAATTTGACGATTGATGAAATGTTATGATGTTATCGCAGGTGAGGAATCATGGTATATAATGGATCTCCTTGTTTCCAAGTCGATATGAATATCTAGTCTAATACAAAGAGAGCAGCCTAAAAAATGGTAACATCGACCCAGAAATTGTGCCGTATCTGTCTGTCAAACGATGACCACATCATTTATCAGTGTAACTCTGATGGCTGACATTTAATCAACTATGAATCATTCCTTGTCACCAAATCTCTGAAATGAGAGAAATGCAAAAAAAATCGTAAAACATCAAGTCACCTGAAGTTGCACAGGGCCCTTGTACATGACGAAAGCCGCAAAGAGACGAAGATGTTGTTTGCTATCTTTGTAGAAATATATGTATGTCAGTTGCTGTTTCCAAAAGTGACTGTCGGTTTCAGAAACGATAATAACTCATGTTAAAATATCAGCGATACTCATGTTGGTTTAACGAGTAGGCAAACAACATATATGTATGCGTGCGTATATTTGATATATAGAAAATTCATGATTTCGTTAAATAGTGTAGAGACCGGCCTATGAGAATATGGATATCTTCCTTTTCTCTGCAAGAGCGTTAAAATGACTGAAAAGAAAATATATGTCAATGAGGCATTTCGGGACGCGGGGCTTTTTCCGAGATTAGATTTCTACCAAGACAATCTCATCAAGCAAGTGGCAACGTTTTGGCGTTTCTCGTGAATCGCAGCAGTTCAATTATGTGTAAACGTATATATATATAGATACAGTGTCACTCAGCAATGCTCTCAAAGCACATGCATTCTTATTCTTTACATACACGTATACACACACACACATATATATATATATATATGTATGTATATGTATATACACACGCCCATATATATATATATATATATATATATATATATATATACATATATATTCACATAGAGACATATTTATACATATATATACATAAAAATATACACACACATATATATAAATATAAATATCCATATATATATATATATATATATATGCATGTATGTATGTATGCATGTATTTATATTCATATAAGTATGTATATGACAGAGAGAGAGAAGGAGGAAGTGAGTAATATTTGTGATTAATCTGAGTGATTGCTGGCTCAGCAAATCTCCTCGATAGCATGTGAGGGAAATAATCTATATTTAGAAATGTTTTTCTTTAAAGTTTCAAAATACATATGGATAAAATGATAATCGAATATAGAAACGCTAAAAGAAGTAATCGATTAAGAAATAAGCGATATAATAGGGATGATCAATGAATAGCTTGACAAGAGGTCATAGAATGATAATTCGAAAAGATGGTCAAAATTTACTATTGCAAGTAATTACACGCAGAAATTGTGCGTTTCAGTCTTGCGGAAAATCTTATGAAGAGGATTTCCAGAAGAAAGGTAATACATGCAAGAAAGTCACGTATTTCTTCCAAATGATCTATAAGAGGAAACAGCGTAATAATTGACCTGATATTTATTGGTAAAAATACGAAAGAATAAAAAGAAAGAGAAGCCTCTTAAACAGAAGCATTATAAGCATGCCTATGTTATTCTCCACCCACATTTGATTTTGCAATGTGCTAAGATTTTAGAAAAAACCTGCCATGATTTATATATTAGAACTGCAGCAGTCAAAAAATTCAGAGTTATTTACCGAAAATATTTTTGATGATTTATTACTTTTCATAGAGATAATTATGTTTAATTGAATCCGTTAGATGCAGTGAGGAGGAGGTAAATTTACTAAAATCAGTGAAGAACTTATTACTTTGATTATATGGGCGAGATTAAAATATTTTCTCAAACAGTAACATGAGCACTAATAATTGATACTGGTTATATATATATATATATATATATATATATATATATATATATATATATATATATATATTTTAAAAGAACAACAATAGAGAAACTATTATTGTAGGCGACAAATTGGATGTGCAAAATCAAATATAGAGAAGGGAAGAATGAGAAAATTTAAACAAAACCTAGCATTAATTGCAGAATATAAGCTGTGGACATATTCACTGGGAGGGAATTTAAAGAAAAGAGCCGGTAATCAATATTTAACTGTAGTGGCGCAATGTCCGATAACATCATGAATGTCTCATTCAGATATCCAAGGAAAATTGTTTTGGTTTAATTTTGAAATTAGAATATGTTTTCCTATACGTAGGACTATATTCAACACAACATACTCGTTTACTGTAATCTCCTCGTTTGAATTTAGTCTTGTTCCATTTTGTACCACTTGATCGTCGATCTTTTTCACTGAACGTGAGTATTTTCTTTAAAACTACTAGACCCAACTTTTGAATTCGACATTGCAAGAAAGCAATATGTTTTTAACGAACGCATGAATAAATCTGCTATGCTTTGGGTAGTCCAGAGTGTTCATGTCTCCCAAATGGGAGACATGAACACGCTGTTCTTGCAGGTGGTAGGATTTATGAATATCCTTAAATGGTAGAATTTGAAATATGTTTTCCAAATCCGAGGCCAGCTGATGACGTTCACCTCACCACAAAGATTATTGTTAGTTTCTAAAATGTGTATTGATTCTTTTAGTTGTCTTAATACCCA